GCAATTGAGTTTCTTCTTCAAGAAAACAGCGGCTGGCTAGTGCAAGTGGCAGATGGTCTAAGATGGATGACTCCGCTTTGCCTCAAAGGGGAGCTGCGGCACCAGGCGTCCTTGCTGTGCTGGCTCACGGAGGCCAGGGCGGAGCCACGCACATTCCTTCGACGAGTGGCCAAGGCGGCCGCCAGAGCGCAGCACAATTTTGAATAAGATTATCGAGCGATGCAGCTTGACAGGCACGTCCAGCTCATCCAGAATGAGAGGCCCAATGCTAACGAAGTTCCAGAAGGCACGATCAACATGTATGTGTGCTATGAATGTGGCTTCGCGACAGAGCAGATCAGGACTTATAACATGCGCATGGCTAGGCAACATAAAAACATGATGGATCCGATGTGCTGGGCCGCGGGCACGGAGTGCCAGTGCTGCAGGAAACAATGGCATACCCCGAACCGCCTTCAGGTTCATTTAAGAAGGTCCCACAAATGCAGATTCGCATGGGACCAGGCAGGATGCAAGGCTGGGGAGGAGGAGATGCAAGTCCTGAGGGATGCTGGGAGAGAGGTGCAGAGGAAGAATCGCAGCAAAGGTAAGAGTGATAATTGGGCAGAGTTCCCCCCCGTGCAGCTCTTTGGATCCTCGTTTTGTATAGAGGCTCACTTGGGGCCCCGGGAGCCTCCTTGCCTCCCTCCCGCCGTGTGCGCCCCCATCCCTAAACCTCGGCAGAAGCCAAGCCCCACTGATCCAGGACCGAGCAAGGAAGGGTTGGAGCCACGGTCTATCTTCTTGTGCCTGTACACGGGAAACAGGCACGACGGTGACTTTATTGAGTCACTTGAACGAGAATTGGCGAACAGTGGAAAAAGGGCCAGCATTCTCACCTTAGGGGATCAGGAAGGGTGGGGACAGCTTGCGCTGCCACACGTGCTTCGCTTTTGGGCTCAGCTCATCCAGGACGGTCTTGTTGGGGGGCTTTGGGCTGAGCCCCCCAGGGGTACCTGGCAGGCTGAGGGGGCACGTGCACGTTTGCCGCGGGACCCCAGCTCTCTTTGGGGAAGGAGAGCCCTCCGTGAAGTAGAGTTCACCCCCGTACGGGAGGATAATCGCGCTCTTAGGGCGGTGCTCTGGTTGACGCACGCCTGTCGGGCCGCGCAGGTACCATTTGGCATCATGCATGTCCCGTGGGCCAACGAAGCCTCGAAACCCACAATTTGGGGACTTAAAGAGGTGAGCATGCTTGAGGGATGTAGAGTGGATTGCGAAGGGAGTAGCATTCTATTGTCTGGTGTGCAGGCTTCCATCCCTCTCGTGTCCACTCTCCCGCCTCTTGCTTGCGTGGCCCTGGAATTCGCCGCTCTCATCCAGTCATCCAATCACCGTGACCTTGCCCCTGAGTTCACTGAGCTGGAGCTCAAGCTGGACCCTTACGGTTTGGAGCCTCTGGGGGATGAGGGTGATGAGGGGAACGCCCTGCCAGCTTAGGTGTGGTGCGGCCAGTTCTTTTAATCCCCTTTGCTGCCTCTGCTTGCTGCCCTCTCTCCATTTAATCCACTGTGATAGGCTGCGTGACTCAGAGGCCTTCATCGACCGACCGACCGACCGAGAAGGAGGAGGAGGAGGAAAGGATGACGGGAGGGAGGAGGAGGAGGAAGAGGAAGAAGAAGAGGACGAGGAGGATGAGAGAGAAGCATGGGGACGAGGAGGAGGAGGAGGCGCCGAGTAGGAGGAGGCGACGGAGGAGGAGGCAGATCAAGAGAAGGAGGATCACTGACCAAACAGCCAGGTCTGCGAGCGGGCCGCCATTGAGCAGTCCCTCGGGGCCGTTGGCCGCATTTGGGACTGCCAATGGGGGACACCCACTGCTTGGGGAGACCCCAACTCGCAGCCTGTTTATGGGGATGCTGGCGATGTCCCACCCTGGCTAGCAGCCCCACATCGAAAGCAAGCTTGGGCTACCAACCCTGGGACGGGGGAGGAGGAGGAGGTAGAGAGGAGAGCGCAAGGGGGGGAGGGCAAGGGGGGCAGACGAGGCGGGGGAGAGCGAGGAGGCAGGATGGTGTCCGGCCTCGGGAGAGCTGGGCGGAAGGTTGGGACTGGCTTGGGTTGGAGAAGGGATGTGGGGACGGGAGCGCTTCGTTGGTGGCTACGCCTTAGCAGTCTGGACTTAGCCTACATGGATCCCCCTAGTGTTGGCAATGTCTTGCCTACCTGGCGCGGCGTGCGTCACGCAAACTCAAGGGCCTTAGCCCTGGGCCCTACCAAAGTTCTCAATTTCTTGCCTACCTAGTGCGGCGTGCTACCAGAACTCAAGGCGTATGTGTTGAGTCGGGCAAGCCGAAACAACGGACCGCAGGCTAGATGGGTATGCGCAGCATAGCCGTAGCCCACAGTCCTAACAGATTTCCAGTGCGGACGGCGCTACTCTTGCCTACCTAGTGCTGCTTGCCACCAAAACTCCAGCCTTATTAGTTGAATCGGGCCAGCCGAAACAACGGACCACAGGCTAGATGGGTATGCGTAGCATAGCCGTAGCCCACAGTCCTGGCAGAGT